ATTTGTTCTCCCTAATACCATCTCACTCATGCTGTGGTCTGACATGGGGACTGTGGGATCCATTTGAAAGCTTTCCATTCCTCTCCTCTTTTCTGCCTCCCCTGGCTCTGGCAGTGGGGATTTTTGTTGCCTTCTTTGCGCTGAGCTCCATCTCCCGGGCTTTTGCTGGGCTCGTTTGTCACCACTTCCTTAACTGCGGGAGCATCTCCATTGGCCCGGGTCTGCTCCGCTTGCAGTAAGGAGCGATCATCCACCGGGTCATGAAGTCCACATAGTGCACACTGATGGGTCCTGCAGCACCTACCTCTGGGGAGCCTAGCAAGGCACCCTGGCAGGCTGCAGAAGGAATTCCCCTCCCTGCATCAGCAGCCTCCCGGCAAGCTGGAATTTCTCCTGCTTTTCACTTTGGTCAGACACTGTAATGGCTTAATGTGAGTTTTGACTGCAGGGAAGCAGGGCAAGCGTTGTTTATGGGCAAGAGGTGTTTATGGAGTTGTTACAGTGAAATGCTGTTGCTACTGACGGACTGCAGTTAACAGCAAGTTAACTTGTTAAGAAGGAATCTTTTTATCTATCTGGCATGGCAATGGATGACTTTTTTCTCATCCTCACAGAAAGGGCAGCAGCACCTCTGTTATCCTACTGAAAACTGCACCCACGTTATCTTGTTTAAGCATTGTAACCCTGTTCCTTGCAAGACTGCCAATCTAGAGCTAATATCTTGTTCTTCCCAGCTAGCAAGTACAGTAGCCAAATATGAAAGGGTGATGCTTAAGCCCACTGGATGCCCTAATCCTGTTCTTCTCCCAAGGCAGGGAAATGCATTTTAAGGATGGATGGAATAACACCGGTGGTTGCAAAGTACTTTGGGAATCCTTCATAACAAGCTGCTATGGTTGACCTTTCTCAGCTCATTTGTGGTGGTTGCTGTGTTCCCGAGGTACACAGACTGACCCTGCACTTACCCCAAAATAGTAAGGTGTCACGCAGCTGGGAGCACTGGTCTCTGCACTGTTGGACTGAAAGTGTCCCTGCCTCTGCTTCCTTCCTGAATGGCTGCACGGCCTTGCTGACTCTTGACTGTTTTCTGGACTGGAACATGGGAGTTGGCTCCATACCGCAAAAGCAGGGTGAGCCAATTTGCCCTTTGCAAAGCACTCTGAGGGCATGAATTGAAGACAGTGTAACTGCAAGGCACTTACTTTTTGTGGGAATGCTGTAGGCAAGACTGGGACCAGCTCCCTAAAGTCAGGGAGAGGAAGGAGGGCTGGTTTCAGCATGCTAATGCTTTGGGGAAAGACTAACAGACTGAGGAAAATTGTTGGTGTAGTATAAGTGTAAAGAAAGACAGGCAAATAAGGCTCTAATAGTAGCTGGACTTTAGTGATATTTGCAAGACAACATGGACATATGATCCCAAGAGCTCCCCTTCATTTGCCAGTGCTTGAGCATTTGCTTGTGATGCAGGTGGCCTCTCCTTACCAAAACAAAGCAGATTCAAGGGACCACTGTTGTTCATACCCATCACCAGCTCTCCAAAAGTGGCACTGCTGGGGTTTAGCTGCTGTAAACACCTCCCATTTGTAGAGGACTCTAAATCCAGCTGAAGAGCAATAGCAAAGCTTGCCAAAATGGGAGTCCCAGACCCATATAAGCTTCCTGTTCTCCACGTATTTTCAGGATAGTCAAATGCAGTGTTTTATATTAGCAAAAGGCAAATTTGAATTCGAGGCATCTGGGACATGGGCATTGAAACCAGACCATAGCCATTGAAGTACCAACTGCCCTTACTGTAAAGAAAAACCAGGCGATGCTCGTTAAAACCAGGGTCACTTATTTAGAGCAAATTATTCTTACTTCTTTTGGTACTGATCAGTGCTTGTGTCGAGAGAAAATTAAAAATACTGATTATTACTGCAGTGATTGGTAACCTCTTTTTGACAACCAAACAGCATATTCACCTGAGCTCTTCTTGCAATACTCGTGGATGACGATTATTGTTTTTATCCGAGAGGGCTGGTTTTGACCCGGAAAGCAAGCTTTCCCTTTCACTCTTACTGCAGATTGGTGCTACGCTCAGTTACGAATCCGTACGTGCTGCGGGTGAGGTCTGTGACAGCACAGCTCTCCGGCTGCTCCCACGCCTTGGTCCTGCAGATGGAGCTATGCGGCCCCTGCTCGGCGCTGCTCCCTGCTGCGGGCTGCGCTGCGGGTGCCGGCGGGGCGGCAGGCTTGCCTCCTCCAAGGAGGCACTGAAGCCGTTTGTCTGCAAGGCCTGTGCGGGAGCTTACAAGCCTTAAGCAAGACAACAAGTCTACAAGCAGCTTAAAATCAGACTGTGAGTTAAATGCGCATGCAGTGACACGGGGGATAGCTCCCCCCAGTACACTGCCATTAACATGTACCCCTGGTTCCTCACTTTCTCTCAGTCTGCTCTCTCTATTTTAGTACCCTTAAAACATTCCCACCCTCAATTTTCCATCAGAGGACAAATGTTCCCCAACCTTTTTTGGTTTATGAAGCCACATTCACACCAAAGAATGCCAGCTGAACTCCAGTACAGGCCACGTGTAGCCATAGGTGGACTTTGGATTCAGACCTCAAGTGGCTTCACCCCATTCAAGAAAAAGCAATGGGGTGATGAGAAGCCATGCCCTCATCTGAGGGAAATGTCCTGATACTTCCTGCAGATATTACTTGTTTTCCAAGAGCGATCCCAAGAGAACTGGCACCCCATCACCAGTGAGGGACAATAGGAGCAGGAACACCACAGTCCCTGCAAACAGGCCAGCACCATCCACAGTAAGACACTCAGCACCATACAGACTGTGGTTTGCAAGAAGCTGAAAGGTAGAGACTTCTTGGCTGCAACTTTGATACTAGTTGAGCTAATTATCTAAGACAGATGCAGCTGATCTCAATTACTCTAGCACTCAGCTCCATCCCCCCCCATCAGACAAGCTTGCTCCAGGGAGACATAATTATGATCAACGAATGTGGCAAAACAGAGCAAAGGCTTTGATGGCCCAAGACTTGGGGAAGGGACATCAAACTAAACTATTCATTGCTTGCTCTGTTACAGCTTTGCTGTCCTAGTGTAAGCTGCTTCGGCTTACACTAGGAAACCTATTTCCCTCATTTGGATGGTAGGGAAGCCCCACAGTCACTGTATGACTGATTCTTAGTGCTTAGAGTATTTTGAAATCAGTTTAAGTGGAAATGGACCCACTGAGATCCTGTGGAAGCCAAGAGCAGGGCAGCTGTGAGATGAAGGATATATAACTCAGTATTCCAAAGCCCAAAACATCTGCCTAGCATAATCCAGCTTCAAATGAGAAACTTGACTCTTGCTTAAAAACACACCATTGCTACAAAGATTTATTGCTCCTATGAGTTTGAGAATAGGTTGAGATTGTTTCAGCCCCAAGACCTCTAATCATTCGCTTTACTGGGTAAAACTGCCCCACGGCCGAGTGCCAGCTATCCTGAGGGAAACTTTGGAGGGAACCAGCTACTAGATGGTAGTAGAGCAGAGAAGAGATTCAGAGCAGCCCTGCAGAGAAGGACTTGGGGGGGTTGGTTGATGAGAAAATGAACATGAGCTGGCTTCAGTGTGCGCTCACAGCCCAGAAAGCCAACCGTATCCTGGGCTGCATCAAAAGGAGCGTGACCAGCAGGTCGAAGGAGGTGATTCTGCCCCTCTACTCTGCTCTCATGAGACCTCACCTGCAGTATTGTGATTATTGAAGAATTTAGCAAGTCAAAGGTTTTCTTATGTAACATAAGGTAATTAAGTGCTTTTGCAAGATTCCTCTGTTTTTCCAATGTCCATACGGACAGCAATCATGTGGAATTGCTTACAGAAGGGTGTGGATGAAAGACAGGTCTTCAGTACTCTAGCTGATAGCCCTCCACCTTAAATAACCCATGATCCTCATTATACTAGACAGACTGCATCACTGGGCTGCATCAAAACAAGCATGACCAGCAGGTCAAAGGAGGAGATCCTGCCCCTCTACTCTGCTCTCATGAGACCTTACCTGGAGTATTGTGTGCAGTTCTGGTGTCCTCAACATAAAAAGGACATGGAACTGTTGGAACAAGTCCAGAGGAGGGCCAGGAGGATGATCAGGGACTGGAGCACCTCCCGTATGAAGACAGGCTGAGGAAGTTGGGGCTGTTCAGCCTGGAGAAGAGAAGGCTGCATGGAGACCTCATAGCAGCCTTCCAGTATCTGAAGGGGGCCTATAGGGATGCTGGGGAGGGACTCTTCATTACAGACTGTAGTGATAGGACATGGGGTAATGGGTTAAAACTTAAACAGGGGAAGTTTAGATTGGATATAGGGAGGAAATTCTTTCCTGTTAGGGTGGTGAGCCACTGGAATGGGTTGTCCAGGGAGGTTGTGAATGCTCCATCCCTGGCAGTGCTCAGGACCAGGCTGGACGAGGCCTTGGGTGATATGATTTAGCATGAGGTGTCCCTGCCCATGGCAGGGGGGTTGGAACTTGATGATCTTAAGGTCCTTTCCAACCCTAACTATTCTATGATTCTATGACACTCAGGAATAACATACCACCACTTCTGTTTACCCTACTCGTTCAGCTCAGGAAGAGTATAGTCCCAGCTATAGTCACATGTGTTTAAATAGCCATCAGTCCTGGCTGCAGCAGTTACAGACCAAAGATGAATGAAGCTAGCACCACACTGAGCTTACAGTAAGCCCATGTACAAGCCGTGTTAAGCCCATGTACAACAGCAAAAGACAAATGTGATTCCCCAAGGATTTATGTACCACATACTAAAAAAGGCAGTTTAGTTTCCCCACCCATTAAGGGGTTTCCTTCACTTCAGTTAGGTGGGAGGGTGGAGAGATAGCAATTGCATTATTCATTTATTAGTAAGCTCTGGGCGCACAGCCCTTCGCCTGCTTTCATACATGGCACAAGGGCCATCCATGACAGATTCACTTCCAACAGATTAGCCAAACACAGGTCCAGTTATTTCAATATACTTTATTTTAAAACAGGTAGGTCACAAAACACTAAGCTTAGCCCGTTTCTGCCATACACAAGCTACAAATACTTGTTTGACAGTTGAGGGTCAGTCTTTAGTAGCATACATGAAAAGTGAATAAAAATCCATATAAAACAATATTCAAATAGTTTCCATAGGAACACAGATAATTGTGACCCATCTCCCAGTCGTTTTTGTTGCATTTATGTCAAACCTAAACTTTAAAAAACCACTTAAAAATTCTAGCAAGAATTAAGTTAATGGTCCCCCAAATGCCCTAAATTCCATTACTAACCTTGCAGTTAATTACTAAATATTACCTATACATTAATACTAGCTGAAGCACAAGTTGCTGGATATTCAATTCCACTTTCCCAGGCACAAGAGAGTGGCAGACTAGCAACATCCTGCTCCTCCACTTCAGCTAGGAACCCTCGCTCCTTGATCTGCTGCATTAGTTGCCTAGAACAAAAGAAAATTAAACAGTCACAAAGCGTTTCACTATGATGTGCCAAAAAGGTAATGAAGGACTTTTCTTACTGCCAGGGAGCACGAAATGAAATCTTTACTCATGATCTGCAATCCAGATGATATTACCAGAGGGGGAAGGATGTTAAAATAGCTAAGTAAATGAAGAAAAGGCAGAGTATGTGCAGGTCACTTATGGCTGGCTAGGTTTTAGGGTAAGTTGGTTTCCCCATTTCTGGGTAGGACCTAGATCTGCAAAGATGCATCTATATACCTGTAGCTACATTTATACCCACATGCCATAGAGACTTAATGAGTTACTGCCCAATAGTTAAGAATTTCAGACCTATGCCACTGACTGTCCTTTATCCCACACCCTCGCATTCCTGAGAAACTTGAATCACATAAAGGTATGGATGATAAGACTAGGAATGTAGAGGAGCTGACCAGTGAGAACCACACAATGCCTTCCATACCCAGATAACTTCAGCTGACTGTATTTTTTGATTTAGTTTCTTTACACTATATGCAAAGCATGAAGTTGTGCTACTACATCCCTTACCCTTCAGTTACCCACCCTGACCTTGTAACAGAGGTGCTCCAGCCCTCTGATCACCTTCATGGAACAAGTCTAGAGGAAGGTCAACAGGTCAACATGCTACTTACGGTGGGAGCCCAAGCTGGACACAGTACTCCAGGTGGGGCCTCATGAGAGCGCTATAGAGAGGGAAATCACCTCCCTCAATTGGCTGTTCACCCAAGGCTACAGCCCTCTTTCAGCCTTACAAGACCACCCGCCTTTTCCATTTTGGCAAGAAAATTCTGTGATACAAGCTGGCCCTTAACTCGAGGGGAAGTATCAGTGAAGTTACAGTGAAGATCTTTCTGAGAAAGTTATACTTGTTCAGCCCTCAGAGCCTTTCAGAAAAGGCTCCAGGCAGACCTTAGCGCAGCCTTGCAATACCCAAAGGGAACCTACACAAAATCTGAAGAGGGACTTTTTACAAGGGCATGTAGTGAAAGAGGAATGGCTTTAAACTGAAAGGGGGTAAATTTATGTTACATATAAGGGAAAAGTTCTTTATAGTGAGGGTGGTGAGGCACTGGAACAGCTTGCCCCAAGAAGCTGTGGATGCCCCATCCCTGGAAGTGTTCATGGCCAAGCTGGATGAGGCTTTGAGCAAACTGATCTAGTGGAAGGTGTCCCTACCCCTGTCTAGTTCCAGGGGTAGATGATCTTGAAGCTACATGGAGCTAGATGATCTTGAAGGTCCCAAGCCATTCTATGGGCTTATTATGTCTGCATAATTAAGGTCAGCATGCCTCACACAAAGCATTACATTTTTAACAGAAACCCAGTACTACAGTGAAAAAGCTAATTACTCTCCTGCAGAGGCATTTTCAGTTCAGTTTGTAGTCTTATAAGAAGTCTAAAAACGCCATTTGTTTGAGAAACACTTCAATTGACAGGAGGTTTTACTAAAGGAAAAGCAAGGCTCATTGTTTCCATCGTAAGAGATTCCTCTTACTTTTATGGCAGGAATTCCCCTGGACTTAAGCACTTTCAGTAAATCTGAAAGCAACCTAATAGCAAAGTTAAACATGCTTTAGGGTAATGCTGCTCCATCTTCCCATGGAGATCTAGTACTCTGCACTGAGGAATGAGCCAGAGCTCAACCTAAGCCACAGACTAGCTCTCAACTAAACAGATGGGTCGCGTTGTGAAGTGGCGCTATTGGACGTTCCTGCATCCTGCAGCCAAAATTTAGCAAGCTACCAATTTTGAAGACAGCATACCATTAGAACTGTTACTAACTGGCCTCTAAAACCAGTCACAGAAGCTAAGTGTAAAGAATTATGTAATGATTCTGTATGTCATGCTAGAGTGAAACTAGAAGCCCAGGATAATGAAAAGACTCCTAACATCACCCCTTCAAAAGCACCTCTCCTGGAAATGAGTACATTGTAGAAAAGAGCAATTGGTAATGTTAGCATTGATCTAAGCACACCACAAAACACATTCATACAAGGTTTTTTACAAAAGCTATGACACAAAAATCATGGCCCTATGTGTTCAGGGACAGCGAACTGATATGGGCTATTCAATACAGTCATCTTTATCAACAGCACCGATAGATCAAGATACTTAAATTACTAACCATGCTGGTCTTGACATCACATAGTGTATTGTTGGCCTCTGGAATCCATTGAAAGTAGAAGCTGCTGCAACAGTATAGGCACCCATGTTTTCAAACAGGATCCAGTCACCAACTTGTAACTCTGGCATATTAAAACGCTCAACAATACGATCTAGGCCATCACATGTTGGTCCCCATATGCTGCAGGAATAGCAGCTGTCATCTGGTTTAGGCCGCTAAGGAAGAGAGTTCAGTGTAATTAGTCAAAACAGACCTTTCAGAAGAAGTATAATTAGTATAACATTCCAGAGAAGAGGAGGACCTGCTTACAGGTCCTTCTCCGCTCCAAGCTTTAAAATTAGTTCCACTGCATGCTTCCCACGCCTAACGCCAGATTCTGGTAACGTAAAGGGAGCAGTAAACTGAGAAGTGACTGCTGTGATGAGGGCTCTCCTACATCCACAATACATGACTAGTAAGTGATATTTCTGACTGAGCATACCTTTTGCAGAACTGGTTTAACATGTGCATGATCATATAGGATGCAGTTGAATGATCCATAGACTCCATCATTCACATAGTACATAAGAGTTTTGTCATTTGCATCATCTTCATCTGTAAGAAGTTGAGATATCAGTAAGAGAATACTTGGAAAGAAACACACAGTTGGCTAGAAGAAAGATTAGATCTAGATTTACATACCATCAGAACTTGTTTGTTCCTTTAAGACAATTTTTTTTGCAATGATGTTAACTGCCAGTGTGAATGCTGATGCAACATAGTACCGTCCTGGCTCTGCAATAATAGTTATTCCAGAATCTGAAGGGAAGTATTTATCCAGTGCTGGGTTGATAACACCTGTGATCTAGGGAAGAATCAGTCGCTGATATTAGAACTTCAACAGTTACTCAGGTGCTATTCTAGAAGTCCGAGTCAGACTTGCATGCTCAAAATGATATACTGGTCAAACGTGTGATAACTATTAGCATGTTGTAAACAACACTGATTGGCTTTGCTGTATTTTCCCACTCAAAAGTTTTGTTTGCATTAAAACCAGACACCACCTGCAGCTTAAAAATTAAGTGACCAAAGCGCTCATGTTTCAGTCTAAGGAAATTACCCCTCCTAGACTCATAAAGCCAGTATTAATGCCCTGCAACTCCCCACACTTCAACTTTGACTTCTAGCACACTTGTAGTTCTGCTAATTAGGATGCAAAAAGCTGGGGAATATTGCATAAAGACAGAAGGCTTTGTCATCCACTTTCAAACTCAGTCACATGAGCAATTATTTCCAAGTTCTTAAGTTAGTGATTAAGCAGCTGCCTCCAACCACAGCATGATTAAGTCCTAGAGCCTGATGACAACATCATTTGCTCCTGACATTCCCTGTAAGCCAATACTGCACTATGGAAAGCCAGCCTTCATTAAGAGGTATTACAACTGAGACACTGTTAAGCCCACATCATTAGCAGAAATTCACTTTAGGTAACTTATTTGCCGATTCCTTATGTAAATATGTAACACCATTTAATATGTTAGGTTAGACTGGCAAGTGTTCTGACAACACTGCTCCAAATGGAAATCTGTTAATACCCAGCCACCTTGTCTCTTTCTGAAAGAGAACTATTTCTGTGTGAAAGCAGACTGGAGAACACTGATCAATTCAAAAATGGTCCAAAAGCCAATTCTAAACCAAATCAGAAACAGATCAGTTTGCTGCCATCCAGAAGGGCAGCATAGTCTCAGGACTACCTTTTCACCCTATCTGGGAGCACTGCCAATGTGAGATAGACATCTTCCAGTTGATACTGCACTTCAGACTACGCCAGTAAGAATCAAGCCTGCAATTAAAATCTGCTTTACAAGCTTGATATCTCTGCATGCTTATGTAGTCATTTAGCTATTTATCTAATTTTCAGTTTTCAGATTCATTCCTCTTTTCTTCTAAATTAAATTTCTGACCAAGCAACTTTTCTTCTTGAAAGTATGCCTGTACACAAATAGAAAAACCAAGATTTTGTTTAATCCAGATTGACATTCAGAATGACTCTACGACCTGAAAAGTTCTTAGCAAAACTATACCTCTTCAAATTTAAGCTTGACGTCTTCAGAGCCAGGGAAGCCACCACCAATATCAAGGAGATACATATTGAAGCCAAGTTCAGCCTAAAATGAGATTAGCAGCAACACTGTCAAGAAAGCAGCTCTTAGTTTATCATTGTAGCTTAAAAGGTATTGTAAAACCATTTCATTAATACTTGGAACACAGCTAATTTATCATGTTCAAGTAATAAGTCACTTAAGTTTGAGCCGCTGATTTTAGCGCATTTGTAAATGAGGTTTGCAGAAGTGATCTAAGTAAGCCATCATGACCTCAAAAATTCCAACAACATGAAATCAGCATCTTGGCTAGCTTTTAACCTCAACAGTTTTACACTTGATTCAGGTTTTGCCACAACAGTTGGTCAGTAGTTCCAGAGAAAGCAGAACTAGACTTACTCCCATATCAAACACACAGCGAGCATCAGAAATGGCTTGAACAAAGGTCTCTGGGTCTGTGCATCCACTTCCAACATGGAAACTATAAAGAGATACAAAATATCAGTTGTTATTTGGCAAATTCGTAAAGAAGTTCATACAAAATTCAAGCCATCATATGCAGAGGCATCTCTGTCAGGTATACCACTTAAATAAATCTCAGTATGACTGCATAGCGATCTCTCAACGCACCTTACTCCAATGATGGCAAGGTCAAGCTCTTTTGCACGCTCCAGAAGAAGCCTGCTAGTCTTAAGAGTAGCTCCAAATTTAACACTCAAACGACAAACTGCTTTGGAGTCATCAGTTGTAATGCGCAAGACTAACCTAGAAATAGGAGAAATGAAAGGTTAAGTTCCAGTACAAAAGACATCATTATCAGGCAAGTATGACCTTAGAATGAGACTGAACTTAAACATACAAGCTTTTCTGTGTGCCTCTTCTTAATGTGCCAGTAAGCTATACAGGATTAGATTTCACTGGCTAAAAGTACTTTTCTTGTAGTTTTGCAGCCCATCTTAAGTAACAAAGAACAAGGTTCAGATAACAGCTGTTTCCGTAACTTGGGAACCCAAGCAAGAATTACACAGAACAATTAGCATAACTTACTTGGCTTTTGGATGAGCCCTTGCAACTTTCATTAGTTCTACTTCACTATCAAATGTCATCATCTGTACACCACTGCTGGCAGCATGTTTGATTTGAGATACTTGTTTGCAGGGATTTGCATATATTATTCGCTCAGGAGGTACACCAATGCTTTGTATCAGTTGTATTTCCGTCTAAAGAGAGACCAGATTACACTTGTGAAATATATTTCTAGATGGATGATTAAAGTAAACAGTGCAACAAAAGAAACACTGCTTGGTTATGTTTAATTTTATATGAACACATCTTGTAAAGCTGAACATACCCCAACGTCACAGATTAGAACACAGTCAAGATCTTACCTTACTGGCACAATCAAATCCTGCACCAAGAACAGCAAGCGTCTTCACTACAGCTTTGCTGTCGTTACATTTGACGGCGTAGAAGGGGGTTACCCGAGGAAGGGCTTTATGCCACCGCACGTGCTTCTTTACAATATCCCCGAGGTCAGCAACATAAAAGGCATCTTTATCATCCTAGAGCAAACACACATCTTAGTTACAAACAAAGATAAGAAGATAAGCATAGAGGTCAGCATTTGAGGAGGAGGTTGCCTTGCAGATCATCTGCAAAGACAACTTGTTCCCCTAGTTTATAAAGTTTGTGGCATCACAAAATGCAGTGATTTTCCTATCATACTTACAGAAGATGACACTTCATTTATTTTTTGGTCAAGGATATCCTTGGCAGTAAAGCCTTCGTCAAGGAAGGTGAATTCAAACTCTTCATTGCTGAAGCTATTCATCATTTCCAAAACTTCAGCTTTACGTAAAAGGATTTAAGACAAACTGTTGCTACAAAGAGAAATAAAAAAACAAACAAAAAAACCCACATTCAATACTTCACTTAAATTCATATAATTTACATTCACTACTTCACTTTAATGTACCCATTATATGACCACTATGTAGTGGTCATACAATTTACAATTATACAACTCCTACAGTGATTACTAATAGTGGCATAGATTAGGATTTTACACAGATGACAGATCAGATTTGATCAGAACCAAGGAAGCACTCCACAAAATAATCTTCCTAGCTTGAAGGCTAATTCTCCTCTGGTCAGCACCTGTATTATCTACTCAATGGGAAAAAAAGAAAAATCAAATAAATACTGTCAGATATTATTAGTCTAAACCCCTGGAAGTTTCCACTGTCTTCACACTCACCTCCACATCAGAGCTGTTAATATTAAGGCTAGCGACACTGGCAAGTGGGTAACTTTTAAAAGATACCCAAACTCTTGAGCACTTTTGTAGCTCACCAGTTTCTGGGAAAAGGCCTTTCTGTTACTACAGACAGAATTTGAGGATGCTACTGACTTCTGAGTAGTAACTACTCTCACTAGGTCTAAACCAGTTCAGACTACAGATAAACCAGCCACGAGATGACAGCATTCTTTGAATTTGCTCTGTTGGTGGTTACAGCTTCCCTGTTATACCCATGACCTCCAACCTACACAAGGAAAACCTCAGCTGTCAGGAGTGGCAGATACACACTAACAGTGGCTCCTAACTATGACCTCTTAACAGTGTTCCCAATTAACACTTTATAACAGGATTTTACAGTAGTCATACATACAAAATACTCATTATTAACAGAAATCTACCAGCCAAGTAGAAAGTTCCTTGAGAACCAGAACTAAAAAGCAAAAGCACATTCCTCTGCCATCCAAGACCCATGAAGTCCATGGTAAAGTGTATGGGTCATCCTTTTACCGGGTAGACCAAAGAAAGAATTGACAGTCTACTCCATTAAGCTGTTAACTTGTGCAGAAGTGTGTGCTACCTTTTAAAGACCTCAGCCTTGCAAGTGACTCATAGGGAAGATATGGTTTCAAGTAACCAGGTCCAGCCCTCTTCCTTCTCTCAGCATTTTTTACACTCAATCTAGTCATACAGTTTGGGACTGAAGATTATGTAAACTCTAAATTATTCTCTAACCTTTAGCTACATCACCATTCCCTCTATTTTCAAGAGGACTGGCTATAAACTGTATGATAAGTAATTTATGTTTTATAGCTGTTACAGGTTAATGAAGTTCTAACACCAACAGAATCACCCATTCCATATACAAGAATCCATTAAACTTTTATCTACTGAATGAGTCTGAAAAGTCAGCACTTATGACTTCAGCCTTCAGAAACACATGGCAGCTGAACTGCCAGTGTCAAGGAAGACCTACTTCACATCTTTTGATCATTTCTCACTTAGAGACAAACCAGATTTGAAATTCAAACTAGATTAAGCTTTAATGAAATAAAAGCCAACAATCCACCAAGCCTTATCCTCCCCCCTGCTCTCATTCACATGCAGTGTTAATTCTCCCAGAAGCTGGATTAAAGTCTTCTCTTAAAAGCCTCTTTGAAAGAGCCTTAAGAAGCAGCAAATTAAACACTTCTCAGGAAACTGTTATTAAAGAGACACAGCAGCACACTGTAAGATGATTTCGGCAAGATGTTGTAGTTCTGCAGAAAGCAGTTCAGGGACTTCCAGCTGCGGTTAAGAGAAGCAAACACCATCAGGCAGAATTTATCTTATCCTCCCCTCTGTACAGAGCTGCATGAAAAGCACTTTTCCTATTAACCTCTAAGATAGGAATTACTTTTGCTGGACACGGCAGACTGAGAAGCTCTTGCAAGCCTTCCATCTCCACCTTATTGCACAATTTTAACTACAGTGTAATTACACATAATATAGACAGAACACTATCACCTAGATGCAAACTGTAGCCTCACAGTGTATATTTCTATTTGGACTGCGTGCAAAGCGTCTGCAGCTTCCAAAAGAAAGGCAGTCTGTGCTCACTTATAAGTTACTCTCCAGAACATTCCCTTATTCAGCAGCTGTATTTAGACACAGCTGAGTCACGCCTGCAGGCTCTGTACTCAAACAGCGAACCTGCGTCTCGAACGGGCGCCCCAGGCGCTCCTGACCTGGGCGGTGGCAAGTCGCTGCTGACCGCTACCGGCAAGGAAACCGCAGGCTGCCCCGCTCCCACTGACGGCCTTTCTGCCTGTAAAGCCATGCGGCGCTTAGCTGCGCTGCCTGACTGGGCACTGAACGCTCCAGCAGCCGCAGATGCTGCGGCACCGCGAGGAGGCACCTCAGTCTGCCCTGGGGTCGGCTTTACTAAAGCCTACTTCACCTTGCAGTTACCCCCACCCCCGAGACCCCGCAGAACAGACGGGCTGCCGCCTGGGGCCAGGGATGCGCCGGGCGCCCCGAGCCGCGTTCCCGCCGCGCACCTGCCGCTCCCCACGCCGGAAACAGCCCGGCGGGGCCGTCCCCTCCCCCGCTCCCGGGACGCGCCAACACCTCCCCGTGCGAGCCCGCCTGACCCGTTCGCAGCCGCCCGGAGCCTGCCTTCTTCCCCCCACACTCCCCTCCCTTCCCCGCCCCGCTGGGACTGGGGATTCCCCGGGCGCGGAAGGAGGGAGGCCCCGTGCCCGGCGGCAGCAGCCGGCGCCCAGCCCGGGCCGCTTGGCAGCGGCCCCGCAGACACGTGGCTCCGCGCGGGCCGGCTTCCGCCGCGCGCGCCTGCCCCGGCCCCTTCCGTCCGCCTCGCTCCGCTCCCCGCCCGGCCCGGCACACGCCGCCGCCCGCCTCGCCTCACCTCACGCAGCGGTGGCGGGAGCTGCTGTCAAGCCTCGGCGGCGGCGGCCAATGCCCTCGCTCTGAGCCGCCGCCTCCTCCTCTTGCAAGCCGGGCGCGGTGCGAGGAGCCGGGCGGGAGGCGCCCTGCCGCCTGAGGAGGAGCGGGGCCGGCGGGGCAAGCGGCGCGCCACAGCTGACAAAGCTTCGCCGGTCCGGCTGCTCTCCTATATATAGGGCAGCCCGCGTCGCTATGGCAACGCACCAGCTCAAACCAGCCCTGATCGGCTACGGCCGGGTAGGGACTCCGGCCAGCCGCTATTGTGACGTTGGCGGGAACATGCGCGGGGAGCGCCCCGCCCACCCCCGGCCGCCCCGCCCATCCCCGGCCGCGCTGCGCGTTGACTGCGGCGGGTGTCTGCGGGAGCGGGCGGTGCAGCGGCGCCCCTCGGCCTGCCCTGCGCTCTCCTCGTCCCGCAGCGCGGTGTGCGCTCATCCCGACCCACCGCCGCAGCACTCCTGCGCGTCCGGCCGCGGGCAGTGGGGGGCTGCGGCTGCGGGCGGTGATTTGGCAGATGCCCAGTGCAACGCTTAGCCAGGGTGCTCAGTGTCACGCTCATAGCATCAGTGAGGTGACACGCTGGAAGCGTCGGTTTCCCGCAAAGCCATCCCGTGAGGTTTGCGTGTTGGCAGTGGGAACAGCTCGCAGTGGTGCTGCCTGCATCCATGTCCACCACAGATGTCACCCGAAACACTACTCATAACGCTGACCATCTTCTTCTCTTTGTTTTGACACTGATACCCGTTTCAACTGTAAGGTTTATTTGTCTCCCTGTACGCTGGCTTGATTTTTTTTTTTTTTTAAAAAAAAAAGGGCTTTGGTGGAAGTTGTAATCAGGTATAAACTCCACTCTTCTAAATTCGTTTCTGCTTTAGCCCTGGAATGACCACTTACTGCCCTTGCCTGGACAGGCACTTTCTGTCTCTCTTTAAAAAGTCCAAGTCCTGCCCCATGGAATGAAACTCCACGGGGACCAAGTCCCTGTTCTGCTACTGTATGTGGGAGCTATGAAGGATGGAGCTGCTCTTGCTGTGCTTAAAAGGGAATTTTTACCTCATCAGCTGTGGGGTATAAGAAGGCAGGAAACCTTCCTGCAGCATATGCCACAGGATGGACCCTTGGGTGCTCCTGCTCCCCATCACCAAATCACTGATGGGTATTTTAATTGAGCTAGTGGCTTTCTGAAGGCAGAGACATTACCAGCCCCTGCCCTTCCACAGAGCTGCCAGATGAACAACACTACACGGCGAAACCCTCAGCATTGCATGGGGAAAAGTGATGGGACACGCGGGCTGCTGCAGGTTTATCTGCTGCAGGTGCTGGAAAGGGTATGCCCACCAGCCTCAGAGGTCCCTTCCTCCCACAGAGCCAGCTGGAAAACCCGCTGTATTTCAGGCAGAAGTGGATCGGTGGGATGTGCTTGTGTGTCCTCCCCAGACCCTTGGTGCTGGAGCTGGGCTGGGGAGGAGGGCAAGACTGGCACTGCACAAGAATCACTTCAAGGAGTAAAATAAAGGAAAACACCAAGATCAAGCAGATGAGAAACCAAAGGGAAGGTGGGCCACAGCCAAGAGAAATGCCTTGGAACAGAGCTGGCTTTGGTTAAAATGGTGAAACGAAAGAAAGAACAAAAGTTCCTAACAGATTAAAATATATATTTAGTGTGTGTGTGGCCCCAAGGGCAAATGGGGGAAGGTTTTCTAAATGACAGCAAGCAGGCAGTGGGGAAAAATGTTCCAGTGTGTAGCACCCACAACAGCTGGTCCCCAGGACACAACCTTCCTTCTACAGCTACTCCTGTTGCTGCACGAGCATTGCCTGTGCTAATCCACCAAAAAGCCAGAGGAGTTTCACATCACCTCCCCTGCCAGTTAGCAGGACAAGAAACAGGGCTCACAAACCTCTGGATTTGGCTCCATGGGCAGCAGATACAATTCAGGTGTTGGAAAAGCAGCCAGAGAGGAAAGTGGAGGGCTGTGTCACCACTGCAGGAGCCAGCAGCTCTCTGAGCTGGCAGAAAAGCAAGGGCTGAGGCTGGGATGGGGATGGTGGCCATCACCGTCGTTTCCCCCTCTACCCTCTGGTTAGGGCTGGAGGAGAGCCTGTGGCTTGATACCCACTGGAGTCCAGGCTGACCGACCTCAGCTATGCCAGGAAGGCAGCTGCTGGTGGGAAGGCACCTCTCAGGTATGGATGTGAGACAGCACAGAGCAGTACCTGAGCCTGGAGAGAAAAGGCTGGACTGCTCCAAGGGAAAAAGGCAGCAAGAGCAGCCACAGGTTGTAATTATCCAAGGAACTGACGCATGTCAGCTATTTGCAGGTGATTAATAGTAATGTTATATCAGCTCCTCAAAAGCATGAGATTACTGAAATGTTTTACCCCCTCAGTTTTTGTCTCTGGAGGCTCCTTGAGAGTTTCCAGTGGCAAGGGCTGGCCTGTGAGGAGCACAAGGTTTGTAGGAGGTGTCCCAGTGCAGGGAGGGAAGGGGGGTTGGACCTGGGTCTCCATGCCAGAGGACAGCCAGGGATAGCCTTCGGGCACACCAGATGAGAACAGGGAGGCAATGTCCTTTGCTACCCATTCTCTGACTAGTGCCCTGAGGGTCTGGCCAAGCTGCTCTGAAGGGCATGAGGAGCTGCACAGCTCCATGGGCGACAGGAGCTTCATGCCCCAGCTCTTCATACCAGCCCTGGGTATGAAGAGCTGGGAGATGCTCCTGCAGCTCCTCTCAAGTCACTGCCAATCTCAAACTACCTCGCATGAAGCAGTTGCTTGGGCCAAAAATGTTTTCCAGAAGAGGGCACTGGAAAAGCATTTGTTGGCAGGAGACTGTGACCACATCTTCCTGATGTTTCCGCTCCTTGCTTTCTCCCCAGGCAGGGACTTTGCTGGTGTGTATGTACAGGGGATAGGCAGCATTGTCTGGCTACCCTGTAGCTGACCATGTCTTCTACATTTTGCAGCAGCAACAACCTGGTGGTCCCTGGTCCTGCAAGTGGTGGGTCTCCTGGATCTTGCAAAACCCTGAATTTGGTAGGAGCTGAACCCAAATCCCAGGTTCCTGCAGCTGCCAACCAAGCAGTGAGAGCTGCCCAGTGGGAGAGGGACAATCTCCCTGGCCAGCACCATCACAGCAGCTGGAGGAAACCTCGAGGTAATGCCAGGCATTTCTTGACTGCTGTCTTTCTCTCTGAGCCTACCCAGGGCTTTGCGCTTAAGAAATTAAGCCCTGTGACAGCTCATGGAGTTAATAGTACCTCCACTTTACAGATGAGAAAGTGGCACAGAGTGAGATTCAGTGATTTACCCAGGATTGTGGAGAGTAAAATCCAGACTGGGCTCTGGACCTCTGCAAGGTGGAGGTCCTTTTCAGGCTGCGGGGTGCAAGAAACATGCATGGGGAACTTCTGTGGGGCTGCCCCAGGCCCTATGGGGACAGCAGCTCCTCACTCCCTTTCAGTTTGTTGGCCATTGAACAGAAAAAATAAAAGCTATAAATTGTCCCTGCCATTCAAAAAAGACCATAAGAGGAAACAAGGTATTTGCAGGATACATATTTGCCATCTTTTATTACACATTTTCTAGGCGTTTGAATGCAGTTTCTTGTCTCTCAGTGCTGCAAATGTGATATTGCATGCTTTCAAGTCACAGCAATGAAATAAAATAGTTCCTTGCAGTGGCAAAACTAAAGGAGATTGAGTGACTGAAAACCTTGTGGAGTGACCAAAAGCCTTGTGAAGTGACTGGAAAGCTTTGCCTTGCTTTGCAGCTCAACTGCAGAAATGCTTACTGTTCTGTTTCCTACCTTGCCTTTTTTAGGAGAAAGTAGCCCCAGTATGTTCAAAACGAGTCATTCACAGACACGTACCAGGAGGTGAAGCACATAGCTCTGACATTACAGCACCACTTTCATGTCTGAGGCTCTTCCAGTCCTTCACATTTACAGATTTGAGATAAAAAAAGAGACATTTTAAAAAGTCAGTGCTCTCACATGCATGTTGTTAATATACTTGATACAGCAAAGGTGTTTGAGTATCATCATCCTTTTTATGAGCTCAGCACCCATGAAAGGTGAGACAGACCGTAAGATTTGGCTCTAGCATCTGTTATGTTTAATACACAGATTCTATAGACAACATATAATGGTATAATCGTGATTTAAAACACCTTGTATTTTAATAGACTCTTCATCTGGTCTTACTCTCCATGAAGACAATGTCAGAATTCTTTGAGAGTCAGGAAGTGTGAGAAGACTCGTGAGCATTAGGTTGAAAAGCAGAGGTCAGCTTGTACTGTGGGATCAGTGGAGAGGAAGCCTTGGAAGTGACAGATTGATTCTGTGTGTGCAGCCAGCAGAGTGCTGTTTACACCAGGATGTGGGGAGGCAATGGCCAGTCCTGCTAGCACAGCACTGCGGTGTTCAGCCTGTGGGCTTCATCTCTCTCATGTAGAGATGTTTTCTGCATGGTGAAGAATTGCTGGGACCAAGAGGCATTAGTGTCACACATAATTCACAGCCAGCTTCTGAGCCCGCCGCAGACAAGACCTTCATTTACTCCAGAAGCAAGCTGAGAGTTTGAGCAGGTTTCAGGTTTTGAGTGAGGAAGCATTTGGTGCTTTTAAGTGTATCAAGTGTCACATCAAACAGTGACCACTGACAATGTAGGTGCTGGATCTGACTCATGTATGCATATTGTAAATGGCTACTCAAGAGAGTAAGATGCTGCTTGACAAGGAGGGTGGCAGCAGGACCTGAAATATACCACAATTTGCAGAAATTCACTTTGTAGATTTAAATCCTAAACTGCCTCCCATGGACTAGATCTTCAGGTGTTGTGCAAACACAGTGAGGTTACAGACTGCTCCAGCAAACTCGCAATTGCTCGTGTGAAGTTCATTGAGGGACATGAGGGGCAGGGGACCATGGCACATGTTAAAGAGGAGACCCAGCCCTGTAGGACTTTGTATGTGTGTGTCATACATACTGACACTTGCTCGCAAAGGTTTGTCTTCTGGTTAATGTATGTCTCCGTGCAGAGCTCTGAGTACGCAGTAACGATTTGCAGTAAAACTAAGGACAGGTGGAAAGCTTAGTGACTTGGTTTTCACCACAGCCGTCCTCTGACTTTTACTGTCTTCAGATAGACAAGTGACAGGAACATGTCTGACATCTTTTTCTCTTACAGTAATGCAAAATATAAGAAACCCATTAGAAGTCAGCATGGTTTCTGGGGTTTATGGCAACATTAGACTT